GAGTCTGCTCTATCCATTATATCACCTAGCTTTCTCTTAATTTGCTAGGATGACTGTCTTAGTAAGACTAAGGCTGAAAAACCAGAGCTTTTTCAAGTTTTCAACACGTTCTTCCCCTGGTCAACAAGATCTTGTAATAAGACTCTGTATCACCCTGGCTAGAGTCCCTAACAGTAAAAATAATCTTCATTCCGTTGCTGGCTGTAAAGTCAACCTTCATTCCAAATTCTGTCTGAGTTGTTGGAACTTAAGCCACAGCCAGGTGGTCAGCGACACTTTGGGAAAATGGCATAGCATTTAATCCAGTCCAATATTAAGAAAAATCTTAAGAAAGAAACAGCACCATGATTACTTTGGGAGGAGGCTGTGAATCGGGCTTTCTCCCAGGGTGCCAAAATTTAGAGGGTGCAAACAATTTAATGGATATATTCCTTTAGCAACCAGACATGGCTATATCAAGCAATTTCCACTCCTGCCCAACAGTTTTGTCTGAATTTAGCATTAATTCCTTCTTAAATTAAATTAATTCCTTCCTGAATTATGAAAGTTGAATTGAAGGCCCTATTTGGGTTGTTTACACAGAGCCTTTTTTGAGTGTGCTCCTTGCCCCAGATATGGTTACTGCTGCTTGACCTAGTTGTCAAAATTGCTAGTTATAGTTCTGGAAAGAACCCTTAATGGCATCCTGCAAATTCAAGGAATTTTGGCTAATGGCAAAGACTACCAGTTCTTCACACAAAGTCTGTGGAAGCTGAAGACTTTCAAAGGATTGTCAATGTGGAGCACAGAGGGGACTCAGTGGCCATCTGGTGCATGCCACTCATTTTATGGATGAGGAAACTGAGGCCCAGGAAAGTTAAGGTGTTTGTCCAAAGACAGTACAGTAGGAAGCATCAGAAGGAAGATTGAACAGAAGCCGTCAGACTGAAAAAAAAAATTGTTGGGGCAGCTAGGTGATGCACTAGCCCTGGAGTCAAGAGGACCTAAGGAGATATCAGGCAAGGGTCTTTCAGGCATTCAGGAGCCTCCAACCCTCCATCACCCTTTAACTCATTGTCACTAGTGAATCTGGTCTTGATCCTTGTAGAGATGGACCCCAGAACATGTGCTGTGTTCTAGGATTCCCTGAGCTAGTGCATCATGCACCAGAAGACCATCTCCTGCAAAGTATTCCAAGTGGCCCAGGATGGGGAGCACAGAGCCTCTCCATTCTCTTATTATCTAAAAACAACACTGGTTTCTCAGCTTCCTCGGTCAAAGAAGGAAGGCAGGAAGTGGGAAGGAGGGACTCTGGGAGCCACATCTCAGACGCCTTTCCCCTGAGGTTATGTAAGGTACATGGTTTCTGTGTTCAAGGCCAGACAGCTGCTTCCAAACCCTGCCCTCGGTCCTGGAGACTGTTAGGACTCGATGGGGATTAGTGGAACATTAGGTCAGTTGGGAGCCCCGGGGTTAAGGCTGCTCCCTGAGAGCAGTATAACAGAGAGAATGTTGGAGTTAGAGCTAAGGAACCTGGGTTCAAATCCCAGCTCTACCATTTCCTACTAGTGTCACTTTGGGGAAATAACCTTAACCTCAGTTTCCTCATCTGTAACATAAGGAGGTTGGACTGAATGGCTGCTAAAGACCATTCCAGCTAGAAATCGATGATCCTATGTTATAACCACAGTTTTCTCATCTCTAACATGACAGGGTTATACTACGGTCCCTTCAAGCTCCTATGTCTATGATTCCATGATTCCTGTTCATTAAAGGCAGTGCTCTGTAGCCTCAGTCAACATGCATTTATTAAGTGCCTACTATGTGCCAGGAGGTGTGCTAGAATATGAAGACACAAATGGTGAACAGAGTTCCCTGAATCTTTGGCCCATCTTCCAGGGAAAAGAGAGAGGGCCATTCTGTGCAGCATAGATATCTGTTGGTTTGCCAGGAACCCTTCCAAAAGTTTCACTTGGTTGGGTTTGAAAGGCGTGTGTGTGTGTGTGTGTGTGTGTGTGTGTGTGTGTCTGCGTGCACACTCCCATGCATGTGTAGGGGGATGTCATGGGAATTTCATCCTGTGTTCCCAGACAGTGGCCCTGTTACTTTAGATGACAGGGTTCTAAGCCTCCCACCAGGAGATCCCATGGAAATGGAATGCCAGTTCTGTCCCCTCAATTTATTTCTCAAGCTAAGGGTTAGTGCATTCTTCCAGAAACACTGAAAGTCGACTACTCTTTTTATTTTTACTTCAAAATAGGTTTTTATTGATATCTTTTGTTTTTTTTTGCATTGCCTAGATTTCCCCTTGTATCCCTGTGCCCCTCCTCCCCAAGCCATCCTTTATAACAAAGGACTTTTTTTTAAAGAAAAAAGAGGAAAAGACGAAATTCAGCAAAACCAATTAATGCATTAAAAAAAATCTGACGTTAACTTGCAATGTTCCGTACAATGACCCCTCAAAAAAAAAGTGATTGAGGGGAGGGGTCTTCTCACATCTCTTCTTTAGGGCCAAGTTTGTTAATTTCACAACAATTTTCAATCTAACCCAGCCCCCCTCCCCCTCACCCCATTTACATTGTTGTAGTCATTTTGCATATTTTTTTTCCTCCTGGTTCTACTTACATCACTTTGCATCAGTTCATTTGAGTCTTTCCACATCTGCCATAGTAATATTTCATTATATTTATGTACCACATTATGTTTGTCCATTATCCAATAAATGGACATCTGCTTTGGTTCCAGGTCCTTTGATATTACAAAATGGTGTCTTTGTAGTTATATTTTGTATTTGTTCCAAAATATTATAAATATTTTGGTGCATATAGGATCTTTCTTTTTATCAATAATTTCCTTGGGGTTTATGCCCAGGTGTGGAATCTCTGAGTCAAAAGGAATGGACATTTTAGCCAGAAAGGTCTGCATTCCATGGCTGTGTAGGCACACCTGCTTAGCTCAATAGAGTCATACCTCTGATGATGGAAGGGATTTCAGAAATCATCTAGTTCAAATCTTTCCTTTTACAGGTGAGTAAACTGAAGCCCAGACAGGTTCATAGGAGCATAGACATAGGACTAGAAGGCACATTAGAAGCCACCAAGTTGATAACCCTTTATTTTACAGATGAGGAAACTGAGTCTGGAGAGAAATTGACTTGTCAAAGATCATAGAAGAAGTACAGTGAAAAGTCAGAATTTGAATCATGGTTCCTGACTCCAGATCTAGGCACCTACCCACTATACAATCTCTGCCTTCTAAAGTTAGAGAAATTTAGCACTGAAAGGACCTGAGGGTTGATCTTCTTGCCCATTTAATCCTTGGGATATTGCCACTAACTGAAAATAAGAGTGTGTATATACACATAGTATGTATATATGTGTGTGTATGTGTAGATATATAATTTGTATTTCATATAAAAATTTGTATTACACATGGATATACATACACACATATGCCTATATACACATATGGACATGTGTATATTACATGTGTATATGTATAGATGTATCTATATGCATGTGTGTTATACATATACACATACATACATACATACATACATACATATATTCATATACATATTTATGGCTATAAGGGACCTTAGAGGCCATTGATACCAATTTCCCCATTTTATGTACAATTAAACTCATGTCCACAGAAGTTAAGACACTTGTCCTGATTACTAGCATCAGAGGTAGGGTTGTGATTCCCAGCTTTGAGGGAGGCCAAGTCCTCCCTGAGCGTCCAGAACTGAGTGCTGCTAGGCTCTGTCTTGCATCTCCCAAGGACCCAGGCTGTGTAACTCATTAGAAGGCAGGAGAGCCCAAAGCTAACTGGATGCAGAATCTTTCTGTCCCTTTTAGGAGCTGGTCCTTTAAGCTCCTGGCTCCTCATGCCTTGGTTTGGACTGGTTGGTTCCCATGCAAGATGAGAATAATGAGGTTAACTGGGCTTCATTCATAATTACAGAGCTGGAGGGGCCCTCAGAGCTCAGTTGTGGTCGCAGCTTAAATTGCATGTTTGTTTGACGTCTGTGTCTCCAATCTATTTTTGTATAATAGCTAATAATAATAGTATTTATATAGGACTTTCAAGTTTGTAAAGCAATATATATGTATACTGTGTCCATGTGTGTATATGTGTATGTATGTCTATATGTATGTATACATACATATCTCCTTACAGCTCTGTGTGGTAGATGCTATTGTTATCCCCATTTTACAGTTGAGGAAACAATTTGAAAAAGGTTAAATCACATAGCCAATAAGTATCTGAGGCAGGATTTGAACTCAGTTCTCTCCTGCCTCTGAGTCAGCCACTATGCCACCAAGCTGTCAGAAGTTTGGTAACTGCAAGGCCAGGCTACTGAAGTTCTGGAGTAGTGAGTCATCCTGGCTAATCAGATGGAGAACCGGCATTAAGTCCTTTGTCTGATACCTACTGACGATGTGATCTTGGGCAAGTGACTTAACTACTCCATGTTCCAGGCAACTCTCTGACTCTAAGTTGAACAATTGTTCTTCTACACTGATAGAGGGCTTGAAGGGCATTTATGAAAAATTGATATGTTTTGTTTTTACATAACCTACATTTCCCAATGCGTCCTTCCCATCACTCCCAGAGAACCATTCCTTATAACAAAAAATTTTAAAAAGAGAGGAAAAGCACTTCAGCAAAACTGAATTGTGTGCAGAGTTCCATACTCATATTCTTCCACCTAAATTGTATGAAAAATTCCACATCCATATCTCTCCCTGCTTCCCACCTCTGCAAAGAAGCTTGGAGGAGGTGCCTTGAAAGATGCTTGTGTAGACAAAACCATTCACCTGAAAGTGAGTTTGGTTTTGTTTTTAAAAAAACAAAACAAGGGGGCATTTAGGTAGCACAATGGACAGAGCACCGGGCCCTGGAGTCAGGAGGACCTGAGTTCAAATCTGGCCTCAGACACTTGACACTTACTAGCTATGTGACCCTGGGCAAGTCACTTGCCTAGCAAAAAACAATAAACTACTGAGGAACTGAAAGTAGCTACAGATTTTTATTTTCCTGGTTTTTTCTGCTTCATCAGCTAAAACAGAAGCTTTTTAGCTAAGGGAGTAAAGGAGTCATGTGGTATGAGTTTCTTTTTAACTTGCCTGGATACTGATCAGCCCCATTCTAGACTCACAGTAACTCTGAGCTATCCCACAGGCTGTGCTGGGGCCAGTCCTCTGATTCAGCTAAGGATGGTGAAAATGAGATGGGTCCTCCTCTGGGAGGGAGCTGGCCCTGCCAGCCCATCTTGGCTCATGAGGACGCTTTGATCTGAACCACCCTTACCTTCTCCAACCCATCGCTTTTCAGAGCAATTAGGCATTACAGGTGCTTTCCCAAGAGGCAAGGAACACCTGAATGAACCTCAGGGGGCCTTTGAACTTTGGGCTAGTCTCTGCCTGATTAGCTTGGAGCCTCTGATCAGTGCAATGATAAACTGTGAGGCCAGAAGACTGAAGATGAAACACAGCATACCACTGGCCTCCCGCCAGAGAAGTAATGGACTTAAAACTAGAGAGGAACATACACTTTCCAGTCCTGGCCAACGTGAGAATCGGTGTCGCTGGACCATCCACATTTGTAATGCGTACTCCTTTCCTCCCCTCCCATCCCTTCCGGTCCCCCTCCTCTCCCCTCCCCTCTCCTCCTCTCCCCTCTCCTTTCTCCTCCCTTCTCTCTCCTCTCCTCTCCTCTCCTTTCTTCCTCCCTCCTTTCCTCCCTCCCTTCCTTCCTACCTTCCCTCCCTCCCTCCCTTAAATTCACTTGTAATGTCCTTCCGCCTGTATTTGCTCATAGTTACTTGCTTTGGAAAACGGATTAAAACATTGTGGTGATTCTTAATCCCTCCTCTTTTCCCCTTTTCTCTCCTCTTCTCCCCTCTTTCCTTCCCTTCTCCCCCATAGCATGTTAAAAGACCCAAGTGAAATCATCAAACGGGTTCATTTTATCTGCTATGAAAGACTTAGGAGAGAACATGACAAGAACATGACAAGAACATGAGAAGAAGCTGAAAACCCAGATGAGTCGCAATCTGTGCCATTACAGGGAGTGTCTGTTTCGGGGAGATCCTGGGGCTTTTAAAGCATTAACGTACAAGACAACGTGACTTGCCCAATAAGAAACTTCCCTACAATGAACATGAAAGAGCCACAGACCTTTGGGACCCCAAATTAGCTCTCAACCTTGGGAAAAGTTATGGGGCAAATGACTTGCCAGTTTGAGGGGTGGGCAGCCCTCAGGGGACAGAATTGCTATTCACCATCTCAGAATATGCTAAGGGTGCTTCAGTTCTGCCTTCCTTTTTAGAACTTGTGTAGCCCATGTTGTTGAAATATAGACAGTTCTCTATTATCCACGCTAACAGAGCTCAGCCTTAGAGTAGCTAATTCACGAGTTATTTGTAGTGACCCTTCGGAATGTAGTAGATGATGTTTTCTCCCTCAAAGCTTAATTACACTTGGCTTAGGCTGTTATTAAAGTTTGTTCGTGTTTTCTAA